AAAAGTACCTCACTTTTTAACTGTCAGACCCTGAATACATCGTGTCTGCCACTCAACCTATATATAGTCTGCAGAGCCCATTGATTTAAATGAGTTCATATCTGAACTGCCTTTGGAATAAATTTAACTCTGAAAAATTCCTACCCCTTTCCTCATTGGAGTCATAGGAAAACTAGGATAAGTTTACTGGAATAAGCAAAGTGAATACAGGTCATGTGACAGATAGTACTATTTTACAGGACTTGTAGGACCTGTTTTTCTATCATTTAGATTCAGAGTTTTTTAATATATTTTCTTATAGCACTTTTGGGAGCAATAAAAAAACCCAACTCCAACTATATCAAGCACTGCCCTTCATTGCATCTCTTAGGAAACATCTTTTTTTCCATAAATATGAAAACCTCATTTGTAAATATGGATTATATTCAGAGCTGCTTCTAAACAAGTCAAGACAATCCTGTTTATGTCAACTTAGGTTCAGAGGTAGTAACTTGATATGTCCTTTACTTTTTTCTGTTTAATATTAACTCTTTGAAGGCCAGGTTTACCTGAAAGAGACTTTTTTACTTCAGTTTACATCTGCTAAGTAGGAAAGATTTAGCAGTTCAGAAAAGGCGCTCCTATCCAGTTAAATCACTTTAGGAGCAGAGAGTACCTCTCCAGCCAGTATATGAAAGCAGAACTGGTCCTTTCTATTTCATATACCCATATGTAAGTCCAAACTATTGAATATATCCACAGAATACATTATCTATTCAAACCACAGTGCCTGTACTCATGCAGATGGAAATCAGGGAGCTCTTTTTTTTTGAGTATATGACTTTAAATGCTGGACAATTCTGATGATTTTTTTTTTCATTAAGTACCTTGTCATCTTTCCAATCAGTTCAGGGAAATCCTTAAGTGGCTGTGACAGCATAAATAGTGCTGGGTGCTATTTTGGTTAAGGCATGCCTATCATGATTAATGACAACAGAGATGCGGTCCTGAAATAAATGACTACTACAGAGGGAATTTCTGAGTTAGCGGCTCATGAAAGTACAGAAGGAAACTTACTCATCTAGCCAGCTAACCTGTCACCAGGAATTAGTCTCATTTTTGTTGTTTTCACTAGGGATGGTAAACAATAGAGCTTTAGCTAATAAGTTTTTTGCTAAGGTTCAAATTGAATGTGAAATATTGGATAACATTATAAATGAATATCTTTGGCATCTGCATTAGGAGGCATGAATCCTTTGGGCTCCTGTGATTAGATCATGTGGAAACTTCATATATGTTGATGTCTCCCCTATTAAAATGGATGTTTTCCTTCTGCTGAATTAAGTTGTCCTTCAATTTGGAGGACAAAAGAGCTACTCCTTTGCTAACACTTCCTCTTTAAGCTTTTGGATCCATAAAGGAGAAAGTCTAAGTTCCCTCTCTTTAGAAGTGATAGAGAAAATTATGATTCTTATTACAGTATAATTCACCTGATAGAGAGGAAGAAGTATTTTTCTTCAAAATGAATTCCACAATCTATAAGCCAATTGGTTACCTGTTCTATGAATTCTTGGGCTGTGCACACCATCCTGAAACTTCAATATTCCTAGCAGACCTAGAGGCCTTCTTGTCTATACCTCAATAGCATCTTTCAGAGTTATCATAGGCAATTTTCTTCCTTTTCCCCCTCTATAGAGTCACTGTCTGCTTCTGACACCAGAAACATTTTAATTTGATCTCATTTGCCTATGGCTTGCCTGACCTCTCTGTTCACATTCCCCATTAGCTGCTCCCTGCGATCTCTTCCCCAGCTCCAATTACTCCAATGCCATTATGCATTTATAATGGATATCACCCTAGAGGTAACTTACTTTAGCTTGAGCTAGTAACTATGAGTTTTCACTTTGCTAAGAAAAAAAACCTCACAATAAACAGCACTTAGATATAAATATTTGTGAACTACCTGTGGGTGCTGAAGATGAAATCAGGATGAGTTTATTAATGGATGTGGACTCTTCTCAGATTATTTTATACTTTTCTAACAAACATGAAGATTTCTGGGAGGTGTATGTAGGCATGATGATAGGAGAAACCAGGAAATTGACAGTCAAATCTATGTAAAACTGCTCTTTCATTCATGCATTTAACAACCTAATTCACAAGCTTTAATGTTATAGTCAAACAGATGTACTGAGTCTAGTTCTGTAACAGACCATACTGCTTTTGCACAGTTGGGTTCCCTGAGCTGTTAAACTGGGAACACTCTGAAACTACAGTTAAAAACAAAATCAGTCTTAGTAAGCAACTCACATATATTTAACATTTTTCTGCTTCTCATCTGTCCCCAGACTCCCTTTTCAAGATCTCTTTAATATCATATGAAATGCCTCTTTATCCCTACAATCTGCTATAGTTGTTCAATAAAGCCTGCAATTCTGAAATAACAGCTGTACTTCTCTTACACACACACACACACACACACACACACACACACACACTTATTGAAAATCATAGCATATTAAAGTTGTACTGCTTGAGCATAGATCTGTAACTAATGGAGTTTGTTTTTCATACTATTTATGAATCTATTAATTTTTAAAAATCAAGGCTTAAAGAGGCTCTCTCTCTATATATATATATTTAAAATTGATATTTCAATTTAAAAAATATATATGTAGATACATATATATTTTAAAATTGTTGTTTCACCTCTTGAACTCATGATGAACAAGAAAGAATTGTGATGTCTGTAAAGTAATAATTTTATCATCATTGTCAATGGCAGCTATTGCTAATGTGCTTTCTTTAAATTCATGATCAATCTATAGGTTTTATGGCTGATTGGAGGCTAATCATTATAGCTGTTGGAGTATAGACATATACTCAGCCAATGAACAAGCAGGTTTTACATTTGTGGTACTTAAACTGAACAAGGGAAACCTGCAAGGCATTTGTGATACATAACCCTTGATATTTTAAACTTTTAACATCTTCTAACCCTTTTTAATCATATTATCACCCCTTTCTCATTTGACTGTCTGTTAGATTCTGTGATTCCAGAGGACAATTTGGCATATCTTGTTTGTCAGTAGGTCTATTAAAGGCAGAAGTTGAAACTATGCAGGTTACCCAAAGGTCCATCTTTAGGAACATGGGTCTCAACATTGGTAAGCCTCTGTCTTCCTATCCAGATCTTGATAACAGATTCTCAGTGGTGGGAATTCATGATGCCAGGACTAGTGACATTCTTTATAGGTGGATGAGTTTTAAAAAGTAGAGATACGACGATGACCTTTTATTGTCAGTATTTTCTTCATTTACTATTGCAAGATAATCAGAGCAAGTTCATTCCATTGCTTAGATTCATAGAATTATGTAGTAATTCTCAATTCACTGATTCAACTCGATTAATTGAACATAATTAGAAGAACAGAAAGTTATGGGAACAAATAAAAATGATGACTAGATAAATACATGTATTTGCATCTATTATGGGATGAAACTTCTTAAATTAGGAAAATGTTGGTTGGTCTTATCTGTCTATTTTGCCTAGGTATTGGATTAGAATTTATTTCCAATGGATGATAATGTACTTAGCTGTATACATGATTACTTGAAATACTTTACAAAAGGTTAAGATTATATTGAAAATGAAAAATACTAAAGCTTTTAAGCAAAAAAAAACCCAAACAAATCTCTGTTGTACAGGCTACTCTCATTCAGGAAAATTATCATGGGTGCATGAGCTATTGGTAAAATGTAAGCTCTTCAGGAAAAAAAATACTCTCTATGAAGGCAAGGACTATTTTCACATCTATCTTTGTGTTTCTAGCACCTCCATGGCAGGCATTAATACATATTTGTGCAATTCAATCCAATCCAATCCAATTCAGTTCAGGTTAACATTTATCAAACACCTACTATATGCCAGGCATTGTGTTAGACTCTCGGAATACAAAAAATGATGTAGTCCTTGCCCAGAAAGTACTTATACTCTAATGGGGAAAAATGATATGAACACAGGTTAGTTGAATATGAAATATACAAAGTAAATTATTGTTGTTCAGTCATTTAAGCTATATTCAAGTCTTCATGACCTTATTTTGGGTCTTCTTGGCAAAGATATTGGGTTGTATTAACATTTCCTTCTCTAGCTCATTTTACAGATGAAATTCAGGCAAACAGTAAGGTTAAGTGACTTTCCAGGGGTCACCCAGCTAAGTGTGAGTTCAGATTTGAATTCAGAAAGATGAGTCTTCCTGCCTTCAGGTCTGTCATAGTATCACCTAGCTACTCCCAAAGTAAATACAAAGTTATTTGCTGAATGACCATGATAGGACACAATTCCATCATATTAAAGTGACATGAACTAATTATCACTCCATTCTGCAACTGAATGAAGTAATTTGTGAAAGACTATTGAAGACATTAAATAGTTTGAAAGTTGAAAAATGTATGGTGAATTCTGAATTAAATGTCAAGAAATGTAATCATATTGATAGAGAATTAATATTAATATTAGTCACAAGACCTTAAATCATATATATGATTTTAGGGTAATCTTGACATAACCAAATATTTACTTGCCTAATTATGTGGCTAATGTATTAAATAAAAGCTCTGAAAAGAAAATAATCTGATTACCTTTGCCTATGCTTAATTTTTTTTTTAAAAAAACAAACAAAACAAAAATCCCAACAACAACCACTTGTCTATATATTGAATGTTATCACTTCAGAAGACCAATCTGGCAAATACTCAAGGCTTTTGGAAGAAAATCTGGCCTGTGATACAGATTTCAACTCTGATAATTTTTTTTTAATGAAATTGAACATATTTTCAAAAGATAATTAACCATTATTAGGTATAGTATGCCTAACAGTATGAGAACATATAGAATATGCTGAGAAATGTGTTTTTGGCATTTAAGTGAATAACTATGGAAAATTTATAAATATAGGGATGGAAATCACTTTAGTGGGTTAACTTATTTTGTTAGCAATGTTTATTTCTCTCCTTACCTTGCTGAACAAAGGATCCATAGACAAACCACATTGAATTGTAGAGCGTGGTAGAAGTCATTGATCCCATTTGCAATCGTGGAGGGTTAAGCCAATTTAAGAGGTAAACGAGCAGTCCCACCAGTAGCACAGTGCCAGCAATGCAAGCCCACAAAGAAAAGTCAAATGGGGCAAGGCAGGCAAACATATCCACTGTCTTTTCGGCCCTGCGCAGCAGCACACCCACAGAGTAGTCCATGTAGCGAGTTGTAAAGTCTACCACATTTTCACGATCTGGAGTTATGGTTAATGCAGAAATTCCTATATCAGCTCTCTGAGGAATTGAAAGAAAAAGGACTCTGTTAGTAGCATGAACACCAATTTGATTTATATCAGTTCAACTTATCTTAGGGAAAGAAAGTTAGCCACCTTGGGTGATAACTTTCTGTACTAAATAACCAGCACTCCAGAGGCATTTTAAAAATAGCCACACATGAATTTTGCAATTTTTATTGCAAATCTCAACCTACAAGAGTTGGACAAATTATATATTATTTGTGAATATAAAATTGGAGACCACTATTTCATATACATGGTTGCTGGTATTCTCCTATTCGTCTGGGTCTACTTATTGGGGCAATCATTATTGCAATGGTAAAAGGCATCTAAACTTAGAAAAGTAATTTCCCGTGTGATCCCATTCATTGTTAACACTGATATGATTTGAGGATATCTGCTGATGTCCATAGTATAGTATTATATTTTGTTTGGTCATTTCTGCATCTAAAAGAGATATATTGATTTATTGTTAGAGGTCTGAGACCACCCAAATTTTAGATTGCCAGCACTTTCGTAGCTGTGAGCATTTTCAAACAGTAGTAATTTACCTTATCCTAGTTTTATTCTTCAAACCTGTGAGATCCTTTGAGGGATCCATTGACTATTAAGGAGCCTGATGATACTCTTTGAAGTAATCATCTTGTTTCTCAGTGTGTGTCCCTTCAGATTCCTAGCTATAGCAACCATGGTTCTAGCAGGTGCTACTTTTCTAACTTAGCAAGCATACAGTTAAGAACTTCAGTGAGGGATATTTAATTTAAGGTGACACTTTAGTCTTTATAGAACCACCAGATAATGAATGAATAACTATCAAGTCTGGATCTTGTGATAAGAAAACACACATTTAAACTACTTAAAGCTGCTTCTACTTTGAAGTAATGAGCTACTGCTGTGACTAAAGCTGTGTGAAGTCTCTTTCAAAATGCTAATAAACGACTGTTACATGTAATCATTGAATGTTTTTTGTTTTTGATTTTTCTCTCACTACATAAAGGAGGATGAGGTCAGTATTTATCACTCTTGGGGGAAAATGTGAAATGAAAAAGAACATTCCTGATGTAATGACTGTAAGATGAAGATTATCAGAGTTCTCTGAAATAGTATCTTAGTGATATCCAAGGGGCCAGCAAGAGTTAACTCAACTGCCAAGAGGGTCTGACAGCTTGGCATTCTGGAATCGGAATCAGAACTAGGATCCTTGGTTGTTAGAACTAGAATAAACAATAGAATCTCCTAGTCCAAATCTCTCCTTTTGCAAATAAGAAAATTAGAGCTAGAGAGACCAGGCGACTTACCCTACATCACCTAGGTCAATTAGTGTCAGAAGTGGGCTTATAATCCACATCTCCTTTTTTTATATCAAGATTCTTCCAGAATGACACATGGCACTAGCCATTTCCTGACATCCTTTTTTATTGCCATATCCTTTGTTATGGTGAAAAAAAGTCAAGGAAAACCAAATAAAAGAGTGATCCCATTGGATGGAACATGCAACATTCAGCAGTCATAATCTCTATGAAGAAGAAAATGTGTTCAACATGTGGTCTTGAGAACTATTGGCCAATGACTTTGGTCTCAGTTCACTCCTGTTATACTTCTTCTGCAGCATGATCATCCCAGTGAATGTTATTTTTGTGGTCTGTGCTCCACATTTGAGTCTTTTCAGGGTTTTCTGAATGACTCACTTTTATCTTTTATTAAGCTGAAATAACAACCTGATATATTGATATTCCATTATTTGTTCAGCCATTTTGTTGTCATTGGGAATCTACTTTCTATTTAGTGTTGGGCTACCAGAAAAAAAAAAAGTACTGGTATGCTAAATTTGGTGTACACAGGACATTTATTTCTGTCTTTGACCTCATGGGAGTATATAGCTTATAGTGGTATTGCTGTGTCAAAGGTTACAAACAAAACAGCTCAGTAACATTTCTTGTGTAAGTACAGTTTGAACAATTCACAAATCTATAACATTGCAGTAGCATGATTGTGCAACATTGACAATTGTTATCCTTTGCCATTTCTTCCACTTTGTTGGTATGGAGGAAAACTTTAAAATTGCCTTAATTTGTGTTCATATGATCATAGTACTATGGATTTAGATTTTGAAGAGACTTTGGAGTTCATCTACATCAATGCCCTTTATCAGTTTTCAATTTTCTTTATAAAAACTGTTCACATCCTTTGAAAACTTACCTACTGTAAAGTGGCTCAGTAATATATTTGTGTCAATTTAATAGTAGTGGTATTACTTCTAGTAGTAGTAGTAACAGCATTCATATAGCATCTACTATGTGTCACACCCTGTGCTAAGTGCTTTGCAAATGTTATCTCAAATAGCTCACAACAGCCCTGGTAGATAGGTGCTATTATTATCTCCATCTTAAGGTAAGAAAATTGAGGCAAATAGAGGTTAAGTGAGTTGCCCAAGGCCACATGGCTAGTAAATGTCTGAGGCTAGATTTGAACTTGGGTCTTTCTGACTCTAGGCCCAGAACTCTATTCACTGTTCCACTTGGATGTCAAATTTTATCTATTGATTTTATTTTTGCAAAAGCTTTTTTAATCCTATAGATTTAAAATGATCTTTTTTTTTCTTTTGTGGTCACTTTTATGCATTTCTTTATTATAAACTCTCCTCACTACATATCTGAAAAGTGTATTCTTCCATTCTCATCTAATTTTAAACTCTATATAGATTATTTTACCATTTGGACTGATTTTTTCATATTTTATATATGGTATAAGATATTAGTCTAAGTTAATTTTCCACTGTTTTTTTTTCTAGCACGTCTATTTGAATAGAATAATTATTGCTGTTCTTAGGCTTATTGAATACTAGGCTACTATGTTCATTTAAGTCTCTCACCAATTTTCTTTCATTAAGCTATTTTTTCAGCCAATACCAAACAGATTTGATGACTACTTACTTGTAACATAATTAGGTAAATGATACTTTCCATTATTTCAATCTTTTTATTTTTTCTTTCAAATGAATTTTATTTTTTGTGTAACTATAGTTTTTTTTGCCAACTTTAACTGATAGAACATTAAATTTGTAAATTAATTTAATTAGTATGATTATTTTTGTTTTCTAATGGATTTGTCATGAATATTGAATATTTCACCATTATTTTTATTACTTTATTTCTGTAAAAAGTGTTTTGTAATTCAACTCATATCAGTCCTAAATTTGTCTTGGTATGTTAATTCTAACATATTTGATGCATTTTCCATTATTCTTCATGAAATATCTATTCTTCCTTGTCTTCGTTAGTAAAATACAGAGAACTTGATAAGTTTGTACATTTATTAATACTCTGGTACTTCACTAAAGTATTATCTGAAAAATATTTTAATTTTTGTTTTCATTGAAACTCTGGTGTTCTCAAGATAAACCATCGAAATGTATCCAGATAGAAATAATTGTGCCCACTATTTGCTTATGCTCATTCTTCAGATTATTTTTGATTGCCATAGTTAGCATTTCTAGAAGTAAATTAAATAATAGTTGAAACATTGACTTCCCTTGCCTTTCCCTTGATCTTATTAGAAAAGATCATTATAAACAATGGCAGCTCTTTATTCTAGGGAGATATTTTGATATTAAAATCATTATTATAGGGGAAAAGTAATTTTGTTCTCTTATTTTTTAACATTAACAATTTTTAAACATTAACAGATGCTGTATTTTGTTACTTTTCTGCATATCTACATATAATATTGTTAGTTTTATAATTTTTGTAATAATAATTATCATTCATATAACACCTAGTATTTTCCAAGCACTGTACTAAATGCTTTACAAATATATCTCATTTGATTGGGAGGTAGATACTATTATTATGCCCATTTTACAGTTGGTGAAACCAAGGCAAACATATTAAGTAATTTTTCCCAAGGTCATATGGCTAGTACGTGTATGTGCCCAGATTTGACCTTAAGCTTTTTTTTTAACTCCATGCCCAGTCCTCTATCCAGTATGATAATTGATTGAATTTATAATTTCTTAATGTTGAACCATTATTGTATTCTTAGTATAAATCCAATTTGTAATAATAAATATTTTGAATATTTTGTTCTTGCCTCTTTATTGGTATTTTATTCAATATTCAGTTACTGTGGACAATGAATATCTGGTCTTGATGCCAGGCAGACTTGTAGAACTTGTGGAAGGCATGGAGAAGAGTCACACTTGCCATATCATCAGAGTACCCACATCAATAAGTGCATAGAACCACTTGAATTTCTGAGATTAGCTTACATTTTTAAGTGTTTTATTATGCTTACAAAGTGCTTTCATATATGTCATCACTGAGGAATTGCTTTATTACTCCATTTTTATAGATAAGCAGGCCATGTGCTTTTTCCTATAGATAGTTGAGCTAAACTCTTTTAAGTAGGTTATGGATCACATTTGCAAGGCTTCTGAATGTTCCTAGGATTGAAGCAATTAGTACTATGTCATCTTCAAACAGAATCATCTTCAGGAAGCTATTAGGATCCCTTTTCCATTTGTACTCTTTACCACATGACCTCCACAATGATGGAAAATAACTCTGGTAATCATGACTGTCCCATTTCTGTGTTAATTGTGTTGTGACATCTTCCAAGAAATTTTGCATGATTTTGATGGGAGATAGATGAAGAGCTTTGATAGCAGCATTTTACCTACTGAATCAAAGGTTTTCTTTATTTTTTTGTATTCAACAGCCTTGGTACTAATACCAGCAATACCACTACTAAGTTCATTTCCAAAGGTGATTAGGGAAAAAGGAAAACAACCTAGATGTTCTAAAATATTTATAGCAGCTCTCTTGGTGGTGGCAAAGAACTGAAAATTGGAGGGATGCCCATCATTTGGGAATGGCTGTATAAGTTGTGGTATATGATTGTGATTGAATACTACAATGCCATAAGAAATGGTGAGCTTGATGATCTTAGAAAAACACAGATATGCACAAAATAATGAAAAGTGAAATGAGCAGAACGAAA